GAGGAGGAGAGGAGGAGGAGGAGGAGGAGGAGGAGGAGGAGGAGGAGGAGGAGGGAGGAGGAGGAGGAGGAGGAGGAGGAGGAGGAGGAGGAGGAGGAGGAACACACATGCGGGCGCTCCCACGGAAGCGACGACGAGAACAAAGTCTTTTGCGCGAGACAACATAACTACCGCACGGGCCGCCGGCGCGGCGCGCCACGCTGGGAAGCGGGGGCGCGGACGCGCAGCACGACGCGGGCAGCTCCCGCTGCCAGTGTCGGCGCCGTCGACCCCGCTTCCCTGCGGCGCTCCCGTGGCTTCTGTGGAGCTGCCTGCGAGGCCACGGGACGCGCGAGCGGTGTACCCCAGATCTCGTGATATAAAAGGGAGGGGGCCTGGACCCTCCCGGACAAGCCATTTCAGACCCCCCTCCGTGGGAGAACCCTCCAAAACATCGTCCCCAGACCCCCCCAGGCCCTCCAAGATGGCCTGGAAGAGACCCCCCCCGAAATGAGACCCCCCTCCCTTTATTACGAAATCTGGTGTACACCTCCGGCGATGCTTAAGAAAACTTGCATTTTCGGCCAGCGTCTCGATCACTCTTGATGTTTCCGCGTGCATCCTGAGATTTTGATAGACATGTTTGGTTGTTACTCGAGTTCTGAGACCGTGAATTTCTTAACCCATGATTTCTTAACCATTTCGCGTGGTGTACCAGAACTGTCGGCGGGGCGGCGGCCCCCACCTCGGCACGCCCCGCACGCGCGCCGTGGGCCCACGGTGGAGCCCCACCAGGAGCTCCCAGCGGCAGCGTGCGCACGCGCCCCCCCCGCCCCCCCCCACCTGTGTCGGCACGCCCCCCACGCGCTCCGCGGCCGCATGCGGAGTGCCCCCTCCCTGGCCAAACCTCCCACGTTGAGATGTGGGCACAACTCAGAATCCCCGACACCATCTTAAAGATATTCAGCATACCAAGCATCCAGAAAACAACCACTGGCCTTCTCTCAACGATGCGCAACAGCACTGTAAAACTACTACGCGCTTTGCAGAGACAGGTTAAAACAATGCAAACGCACTCCGTGTTGACCCTGATGTGGACGTTTGCGTGAAAGGCGCGTCCAGTTGTCAGAACCAGGAGGATGCCCCGGGAGGAACGGCCAATCAAACCTCTGAGCTCTACCGCCTCGCGCGCGCTTGGGGGCCAGCAGGCTGCGTGGAACGAGCTGCCACGCTTTTTGCAGCAAGTGCAAATCTAAATTCGACTCATATTGTGATAAGTTCCACGGTGGTGGTGACTGAAGTCGCGCCAGGGAAGGGGGGGTGGGGGCAAGAGTGCTGGTGCCTCTGGGGCCATCGGTGGAGCTCCCGATGGGACCACGAAAAATAAATGTTGGATGAAAACTGAAACACGTCAAACAAATACCTCCAAAAATGAAAAATAGTCGGACAATCGTCCCCAGACTCACTTTTGACTATTTCTGCATGTTCTTCAAGCCCGACTTGAGGCTAATCCAGGAGGGCGCATGCGCCGATCTTGGGCCCGAGGTGGGCCTGGCCAAGACCGGCGCAGCGGACGATCGACACGTGCCCGGGCGCAGAAACAGCGACGACGTGGCCGCCGTCGGCTTCGCAGAATCGGCGCCCGCGCTCGCAGGCAAACGCCGCATTGCAAACAAATCCAGGCGCAAGCACACTCGAATTCTGTTGTGAATCAGCGCCGTTGGTGTGTCTGCTTCGTTGTTGCACACGGTATGCATACTTATACACGTATATAAATGCACAGATACATACGCACAAACATACACACATACACACATACACACATACACACATACACACATACACACATACACACATACACACATACACACATACACATACACACATACACACATACATACATACATACATACAAACATACCTACATACATACACACACATACATACATACATACATACATACATACATACATACATGCATGCATGCATGCATGCATGCATGCATGCATGCATACAGACGTACGTACATGCATGTGTAGATGCACAAGTTTCCGAAACGCATGAGCCCATGCATAACCGCAATCACATGCGACGCGTGGGCCGCCCTCGAATCCGTACAGTCCTGGACGGAATCCGCCATGGAGAACCCGGCGATCTCTTCGGGTAGGATGCAATGCCGGTGGCCCTTGCCTCGTGGGCGTTGCGTCTCTCCGCTCTCTGTCGCTTCAGCTCACGCGCGCTGGGCCCAAGCGCGCGCTCGGACAAGGAATCTCGATCTCCTCGAACGCGCGACGCAAGCCGAAACACAACACACACGCACAATGATGCTACAGGCGTGCGCAAGCGCCATGCCCGTGGCCACAGCAGATCGCGGCGCGGAGATGTGCGCCATCTCCGCGGCGGAGGTCGGCTGATTTTTGGCGCGACGCGCATTAGAGGCCTCCTGGATGGGGTCCGAGTAGATGGGATCGGAGGATGCCGCCGCATCGCCGATACATCGGGGATGCATCGCCGATGCATCGGCGATGCATCGGCCATGCACTGGCGACGTCGGCGATGCATCGGCGATGCTGGCGTGGAGAAAATTGGGCCTCACATCGAGCCGCATCGCCGATGCATCGCCGATGCATCGCCGATGCATCGGCGATGAAGGGCGATCCTCCGACCCCATCTGCTCCGACCCCATCTAGGAGGCCTAGACGCATGCATTTCCACGGCTCGCTGCGCGCGCGATGGCCCATCGACCTAGCGCTCGTCCGATGCGCGACCGCCGAGCTTTCCCCTGGTGCCGCGCCCCGACCGCCATCCTGTCCCGCCCGATGGTCTGCCGGGCCACGCCGCCCGCGCCAGCGGGCAGGGGCGCGAGCATGCAACGCAACCCCGGGGGCGGAGGAGGAGGAGGAGGAGGAGGAGGAGGAGGAGGAGGAGGAGGAGGAGGAGGAGGAGGATGAGGAGGAGGAGGAGGAGGAGGAGCGGGCTTCGAGCCCACCTGTGGCCGGAACCTGCGCCTCCGCGCACCCGGGGCGCCGCCGCGGGCGCCGGGGCCGCGCTCCACCCCCCGCCGGCCCGCAGGGTCTTCCGAGCGCTGCCCTCGAGGCCTGCCCGGGGGGGGCGCGGCCGCAAAAGCTCCAACGAACGCCGCGCTGTGCGCCGTTGGAGCAAGGTCCGCCCGCGTCAAATCAATTCGTCTAGATTGGGGGCCTGGTGGGGGGCCTCCTGCGAACCCTACACCTGCCCCCCGCGATTTCTGAGGGGGAGGGTGGGGTTCGGTTCGCTCGGGAGCTCCCGAGCGAAGGGAACCCCTAGCTGGGCGACCCATCGCGCGTGGCTGCTCATGGGTTGGGCGCCCAACTTACCCCCGATGATTTGGGGCTCTGGACGCCCGAATCATCCAGGGGAAACTCGTGCCCGGGGCAACTTGGATTCGGACTCCCGAGAAACGACCCCGAGTTGGCCCTGACCCGAGTTGCCCCTGATGCTGCGCTCCTCGCGGGCTCTCGCGGCTGCCAGGTTGCCTCCGGCGCCACGCGTCTCGCGGCCAGCGCGCGAGAAACCCGGCCAGAGCCCGCAGCGCCGCTGGCGCGCGTAGATCATACAAGCGGTCGCGCGGCGAACTGTTCGAAGCTGGATTACCATCGCGGGGCAAAGAAAGCATGTTGCCCACGCGCAGAGGGGGGGGCTGGGGGGAGGGGGGAAGGCTTCCTAGAGACACCCCTGCTCTTCAGAAGGTGCGGGCCTCGTCTATAGATGTAGGGCCCGCGCCTTCTAAGAAACAGCCTCCTTCTAAGGAGCCCCCCCCCCTCCCCCTACCCCCTTGTGCGCGCCGCCGAGCATGATCGTCTTGTGCGACTCGCTCGACGCCGCGCGCGAACTCGGTCGCGCGCGACCGAGCCAGCCCGCGTGGGCGGAGACGGCAAGAAGGGAGGCGAGGCGCGACTGTGGCCGCGCGCATGCGTGTGGGCTGCACACGAGTCGCGAGAACACTCATGAACGAGTCCCCAATCAGGTGGAACAACACGGTCCTCTTTTGTGCGTTGGACGCCCAAGATGGGTACGGAAAAAAGCAAGTACAATGCCCAACGGCAAGTGTTGTCCTAAACCAACAGCGGCCGCTGTTGGGCAGGCGGCCTTCTGTCCCAAATGGACGCAGGCCGAGGCGTCGCGGACAGCGAGTCCTCTTCAAAATGAATAGGAACTGCTGTTGGGCATTGTACCCATTCTTTTCGTACATTTTCGATCGTACCGATTGCTGCCCTCAAACATGCGCCACTCCTGGCAGAGCTTGAGATTCTCCTGCGCACACAATAGCGAGAAAGTGTGTGTTTTTGTGTGTGTGTGTCCACAGCGGACCGAATCGCCTCCATGTCGGCCGGCGAACCCTGGTCTTTGGAGCCTGCGAAAACTTGCGTAACAGACGGCCGTGGCCTGCCCAACACGTCCGTAAATTCTGCCAACATACCAGGCACGAAACCGGGCTCTTGGCGCCCATGGTCCCTCCCCCCTCGCCCCCCCGCTTGGGGAGGCGGGGCGGGGGAGGGAATTGGGGCATCGGTATCAGGGCGTCTCGACATCAAAAATACATACACATGCACATAAGACACGCACGCACATATCTGAACACACACGCGCAAACATAGCTGCACATGCACACGCACAAATGCTTCCACGCGTACGTCCACACTTCGAACTGCGCCATGTACGTGTCCTCTGTTTCGCTATACGCGGCGTGGGCTCATCAACGCACCTCCGGGCTCTTCTTTCTTTTGTATTTGCACACAAAGAACTAGCCACATAAACACTAACATACACATTTAGCGCTTCGTACAAATTTCTTGAATCCGCGCAATGCCCCCCTCCCTGGCGCGCGGAGCGCGCCAGGGGCGGCGCCGGAGGCGCCGCCGGGGGGGCCCAGCGCGGATCCAAGAAATCCGCGCGGGGAGCGTCCAACGTTTCTGTTGACGGCGTTATTTCTTTTTCTACCCTTTCCTCTGGGGCTCGGCGACATGGCGCGAGCCTCCTGCATAAGGGTTGGCCTCCTCCACGCAGGGGCCCTTCCACAGCGCACAGCCTCCCGACACGTTGCGCCCCAGCCGCCAGTCCGGGCTGCTGCCGTGCTGGTAGCCGAAGCCGACGCACCCCTCCGCCCGGGCGCACCGGCGCCCGCATTCGTCCGCGTCGGTCACCGTGGTGACCTTCCAGGGCCAGGATTGCAGTCGACACCAAGGAATGGCCTCCTCCTCCTCCTCCTCCGCCTCCTCCTCCCGGGCGGGCGCCGAGAGGCTTGGCCGGGCGAGGAGGAGGAGGAGGAGGAGGAGGAGGAGGAGGAGGAGGACGAGGATGTGAGAATGCGCGGTAGGGATGCGAGGGCCTTGGAGGCCCATGTGAACGCTGTTCGAACGAGGTTGGCCAGCGAAAGTGGCCAAGGACGGGCCGACAAGGGCAGCCTTGGGAAGGTCGCCCATCCTTACGATGCGGGCTGTCCTTACGATGCGGGCACTGCAGGTTGGGCATGTCCTGCTACAGGCGAGTTTTGGAAGAAAGATAAGACATAGTCAAACAATAATCAAACACATGAATTGAACACGGCAGATCGTCACCAGGCTTATCATTTTACTATTCTTTGATAGTCCTCCTGTAGAGACACATGCCCGACTTAAGGCCACGAGGAGGGACACACGAGAAGCCCCCGGCCAGCCCCAGCATTTCTCGTGCTGCGTGTTTTGTTGCCTCCTGGAGGCGTCTCGTTGCCACGGCTGGGTAGAAGGCGAGGCGGAGGAGGAGGAGGAGGAGGAGGAGGAGGAGGAGGAGGAGCAGGGCAAGGTGGACGAGGGGGACGACGCCGAGGATGACGACGAGATCGACGACGAGGACGCTGACGAGGAGAAGGACGAGGAGAAGGGCGACGACGACGACGACGACGACGACGGACCCCAGAAGGGGTCCGAGGTCCGGGGCCCTATCCGGAGCGGGTTTGGGCCAGGCGGCAGGGCCGCCGTTGTCTCAGGTGGCCCTCCTCGCCTTCGAGAGGTGCACTCAGACCTCCAGTCTCTCACGGGAGACGCAGTCGGGGATGGACAGACCCCCTTTAGCAAAACCTGATTTAGTGAGAGCGGCCTCGGGACCACACCTGGCGGGCGCAAGCCTGGGAAATGACGGCCGCGGTGCCCTCTCGAGAGCCGGAAACGGACAATTCACTAATCGACGTGTCAGGGTGGGGGTTTTGTCCACCCCCGACACAGAAACCACTGCCACGGAGAACGAATCAGGAGGGAGGGCAACCCCTTGGTGGTTGCACACGCCAACGTCGCCCAGCACTGGACGACGCTCAGGTGTGCAACCGCCCAGGCTTGGTCCCACCCCTCGATGGGTTCTCAATGGCGGTCCGTGTTTGTCTCTCCAAATTGCTCGTGGACTCCGGAGAGACAAAAGTACCACTACCACCAGCTAGGGGGGTGGCCGCTCCCTCCCCTCGAGCTGGTGGCACCTCCTTCCGGGAACTCTCTGGAGGCATGGCCGAAAGGAGGTGCCACCAGCTCGCGGGGGAGGAACGAAACAACCCATCTGGCTGGTGGTAGTGGTACTTTTGTTCTGGGTGATGGACGCCATCCCGACCAGCTTTTCGAGCTGCGTCCAGCCGTGACCACAGGGCCCCCCCCGGAGGACCCCAACAGACACAGAATCCGCCAACCCCTTGCTAGCCGAGAAGGTCGGGGATCTTCTGACCCTGGTCAATCCAGGCACAGGCCAGTCAGGCCTTGCAGAATCCTGCAGGATCCTGCACCCAAGCCCGGGTCAATGCGAAAGTTCCTGCAAGATCCTGCAGGATCCCGCACCCAAGCCCTGGTCAATGCGACCCTGGCCCTGAAGGATCCTGCGAGATCGGGCGATCTGGCTGACCCCCGTTTGCATCGACCCCCGTCTCACGGCTCCCGAAAGTGCGAGACATGTGTTAGCAGCTGGCCTACCCTTTTCCCCCCGCCCCCTTGGTTCCCAAATCATGGAATAGTGCGGGGGTGAGCTTCCGAGTGTACCTCTCGGCCTGGGAGCCTGGAAATCCACCCTCCGCGGCCGCAGAAATATCCACTATGCCTTGTAAGACAACCGCGAACGGGCCCCAACACGCCGGAGAGGCCTGAAGAACAACCGAACATAATTTCAAGATGGCTGAAGATGTTTCCAAGATGCCCGAAGAGTGGCCGGCTGGCAGCCATATATGGTTGACCATTTCCATATGTTTCTTATTGCCAAACCCCTCTGTGAATTGGGCCTTCGTTGTGAATTGGCGACGCCGCGCGTCCACATCTCCCGCGTGCTCCTCTCTCCGCCTCCGCTCCACTTTATCCTTCTCCTCCTCCTCCTCCTCCTCCTTCTCCTCCTCCTCCTCCTCCTCCTCCCCTTCCGCCTCCCTTTCCTCCTCCTTTACTTTTCCGCTTCCCTTCCGTCTAGTCCGTCTCATCCGTCTCCTTCCCCTCCCTGTCGTCCTCACCCACGTGATCTCCATCAGCAGCATCCACATCATAAGCATCATCATCATCGTCATCATCAGCACCATCCGCATCGTCATCACTATCGCCATCACCGTCAGCAGCATCAGCAGCAGCAGTATCATTAGTATATGTCTCACCATCAGCAGCATCATGCTAAGTATCGCAATTACCATCATCAACACCACCATACTCAGCATCATAAGTATCATCGACATCATTCTCAACATCGTCATCAACATCATCAGCAACCTCACCATCCTTATACTCGTCCTCTTTACCATCCTCATCACAACTATCTTACCACCATCATCGTTCTAATCATCTTCATCCTCCTCATCAATCCTCCTCCTCCTCCTCCTGTGAGCGCCGAAGCCCAGTCTGTGCCGGCGCCCGCGCTTGCGCCCGCACTGAGCTTCGCCAGTTTCGCGTCGAACCGGTAGCTGCCCTCCTCCTCCTCTTCCTCCTCCTCCTCTTCCTCCTCCTCCTCCTCATCCTCCTCCTCATCATTATCAGCACGGTCGCTGGGCGCCCGAAGTTCGGCACACCTACACAAGCGTGAGACCTTTATAGTGAGATCCCCCTACGCCGAGGCCACTCTGGATCAAGCTGGCCACCCTACGGCCTGGGGATGATTCTCGCTGACTCCGATGGTGTCACTCGCCGCAGCGCCCCCTCGATGACGGCGGCCATGTGCCTGGCCCCGTGCGCGGGCCGCCCTACGGGATGTGAGGCCCCTCGGCGCCTGCGGGCCCGTGGCCCGAGCGCGCGCCGCCGCTGGCGCCGCGGGCAGCTGGCTGCAGGGCGTGAGGCGCGGATGCAAGCGAGTGCACACATCCGTCAGCTCCTCCACCCTCGTCAGGAACCTCGCGAAGTACTTCTGCTTCATCGTTCCGCTGTTCTGCCCCCAAGGCTGATATTGAACGCGTGGCCCCCGTGGCCCATAGCACTGCACCATCCAGTCTGGTTCAAGCAGGTTGCACTGTTTCTGCGAATCTGGGTGAGTGTTTTCTATCGCCGAAGTCATCTGGCACGATGTCGGAGGTATACATTCCTTTTCGGAACATTTTGAGGTCCCCTTTGCACGGCTGGCTGCCCATCGCCTAGGCAGACTGGATCATCCGAGTTTCCCGCGCCCATCTGAAGGTGTTCCGCTTGCGGCTTGCAGCGTGGTGCTCATGAAAGCCTACGAGCAATCTGGGGTCGCGGACGTTACGTCCACTCTGCGTTGCATGGACATGCTCCCCGTCGAGAAGCGGAGCTTGCGGACAATCGAGTGGGACACCGACGAGATCAAACTGCTCTTAGGCCCCGAAGGCATATGGGACAGTCTGCGCACGCCCGCGGTCCTTCGCCCGCGAGGCGAAGATCACAGCGATCACATTGTATTGGCTTTGCATGTACAGGATCTCGCTGTTCAATCAACAATCCGCTGAGAAGCTCAGAGAGGATATCCACATCCGTCCATCGTTTTCCCTTGATGGAAGCAGATACTGATACAACTTCTCTTTGATCGCGTAGACCGGTTGCCCATCTGGGTGGTCTTGGGATTTGCCTGAGCCTTGCCAGGAGTCGCCAGAACGAGGGGACAACTTGCTTTCGAGTTTCGGAGCCCCGTTCTCAGTTCTCATCGGGGGGAATGCGTACTACCCAATCGTGGGATCACGCTCTGTGGCGTGACAGTGAGGCGCTCGTGTGATTCGGAGTGAAGGGTTCATGAAGCGGTCCTCAACGCTGCCTAATACAACAGAATAAATTATCCCCCACGGCCACCATGAAGGTCGCCCATGTGCGGTGTGCAACACACATTTCGGCACACTCCTCACACGATTGGGGTCCCCATACCCGAGTGAGGTCTTACATATGTGGTACGCGCCCCCATTGCGGCAACAAAAACCAGTAGTGAGGTCCACCCACGACCCCAGTGAGGTCGTACGTATGCGGTACGCGCCCCCATTGCGGCAAGAAACCCATAAGGATCTCCACAAACGGCCCCAATGAGGTTGTCCGTATTGCGGCGCCACCTCATTCTGGCACCTCTTCTAACACATGCCGCGGTCCCACATGGAGTTCCAGCCACGGACTCAACAGTTCTGCACACCCCTCACACACATGACCCCATGCGGAGCTCCATCTAAGGGCCCAGTGTATGAGGGCACCGCCTGAATTGGGTACACCCCTCACAAGCTTCGTGGCCCCATACGGACCTCTACCTTCGACCCCATACGGAACTCCACCCACAGACCCGACAAGGTCGTCCGTTTGGCGGCGCCACCTCGTTTCGGTGAACCGCTGACACATTTCAGAGGGGTCGTCCGTATGGCAGTGCCCTAGTTTCGCCACACCCGTCTCACATCTCGTGGCCCAATGGGGAGATCGAATTAAGGTCCCAATGGGGTCGTCCATATGACGGCGCAATCTGATTTCAGCACACCCCTCACACGCTTCGTCCCACAATGACGAGTGAGCTCCTCAGACGCGCTAGTGAGGTCGTCCATATGCCGGCGGCGCCTTATTTCGGCATACCTTCCACGCGCTCCGTGGCCCAAAAAGGCTCTCCAACTAAGGCCCCAGTGGGGTCGTCCGGATGGCGGCGCCGTTTCAGTTCGGCACACCCCTCACACTTGGCGTGGCCCCATACGGAGCTCCTCAGACGGCCCCAACGAGGTCGTCTACGTTTCAGCACGCCCGTCACGCGTGTCGTGGCC